TGCCCTTTTTTTGGGGGGGGGGTGGGGGCTTGAGCTGTCTCTTATACACATCTAGATGTGTATAAGAGACAGGTTATGTGGTTCCTTTGTGATTCTTGGATCATGCATCTGCAAGACTATAAACAGAGCGACAAGAAAGTGGAAGCGAGGGCTTTGTTGTGGAAAGAGGGAGGGAGCAAGAACTAAGTATTTTTTTTCTTCTTGCTGTGGTATCACTATACAAAACAGCATCTGACATGATTCGCTCGTTCCCAGCCAAATTTCTCCAACACAGTGCTTAACGTGCCACGACCTTCGGGCCTCGGCCTGCCGAATTGAGATGGCTGTGCACACCAGCCCAAACAAAGGGAATTTGTGGCTGTGCCAGTCAGGCAAAAGTCAGCACGCTGTGGAAGTTGGCCTGGAGAAAGAGAGGCCCAGAAGTACCAGTGGTTCAAGCGATGCTTTTTTTTTTTTTTTGCGAAACATCGGCTGCATGGAGTGGGGGGGGGGTGCTGGTAAGTGCAGACACCCCCTCTACCGACCCCGCCATTTGGATGGCTCCGTTCCATTGGTGGGGAGCTGCACCTGCTGGAAATCGGGTCCAGCATCCCTTTACATTTAACCATTAAGCAGGTCCAGCGCCCCTAGACTTTTAATCGTTAGGCCATGCACTATGTTGTGATCTGAGTTGTTATAGGGCAAGGAGTGCTGTTCTATAGTGGTAGAACTGTGGTGCGTTGTAACTTTCAGGGAGGTAACAGGCCTCGCTGTGCAGTCGAGACCAGTACACCATCGCTCCCCTGCCTGGACCCTGTCATGCCGTGGCTGCTGTTGTCTGTTGTTGTCTTTATATCCTCAGCAGGGGGAACCATTGCATTCCGTCACCTCTGCGTCTTTAGGCAATGGTGCCGCTTGTGTAGTGTGCCTGCCAGATGCATTGTCGATCGTCCTCCCTGTAGCAGGTTTACTCCGTTGCATTGTATCTGCAATCGGTCAGCATTCCCATGTGTTTGCTGCTTCATCCGCTCACAGGGCCTCCCGGGAGGAAAGGGCAGTACCACATGGGCCAAGAATGTCTGCTAGGCTTTGGGGAGGAAGTGTTTGGGGCAGGCGGCAGTGGAGGGGTGGGTAAGCAGCAGGCAGGCGCTCTGTTATGTTATGTTATGAGATGAGAACGGAGTTAGGGTGAAGAAGGTATGGGACGTCGAAACAGTGGAAAGGTCTTTGTTGCCATGAGGGATCTGTCCTCCTCCATGGCTTCCACTGAATGCTGAGCCTGGTGTCAAGCTCAGAAAAGATGTGGTGAGGATCCTGCCAGAGCTGGCGACAGGCCTCTCGGATGGTCTCCTTCACAATGGGGTCCTCTTACTCCCTGTAATCCCATATATAAAGGATTTCCCGGCTTCATGTGTACAGGACCTGATTACCTCCTCGATTGTTTGCTGGGCTTGCTGCAGTCCAAATTGATGGTCTCTTCTTTCAAAGGAACATCTGGCTCTCCAGCATCGGACATGCAGCCTCGTATACGAGAATAGGTTAGTAGCGAAGGGGGACCATTGTGCCAGCAACTGTTGTTTCTTGCTCTGCAGCAGGAGCCCCAGGTCCCACGGGATGTCCACCCCCGTGAGGGCGTGGAAGGCAACATCCCACCACTGCCACAATTGGGTAACCATAGGGCACTCCAACAGGCAGTGTTCCAATGTGGCCGGGGCCGGCGGCGTTGACCTGCCGCAGAAAGTTCAGATAGGAGCCAGAAGCCCTTTCTGCTCGAGGTCTGTTCTGGAAACAAGCCAGTCGGGCGTGGGTAGACAGCGATGAAGGATCTGCCATTGAAGCGCTCTAAGGTCCGTGGGCTTGATCTTGGAGTACTTAGCCCAAGGCAGAATTGTTAGCAGGCCCGGGTCCAGGGGTGAATCTCGCTCCCATCTACGGGAAACGGTTTGGTCAATTGGCAGGGTTGTGGGCGAAGCCGTATATCCTCCTTTGACAGTATAATCCTGTATATGCGTGGGCTTAGGTCCAGGCCACTCTCATTCCCCCGGATCGAAGGGGAGCCTGGCGACCTGTATCATGGGCTCAAATACAAAGAAGCTCTCTTGCGGGTCCCCCACCACTGACATGCATCAGACCCCCCCAACTTTCCTCACTATCCAGGTTTTCATTCCTTGTTAGTTTGGAGAATCTGGCTCCTGGCAACTGGGGCTTGTACGCTTGTACTGTGCAGCACCCTGCATCATTGCTGTGTACCCTATATATGGCATTCAGGTAGGGGAGGTCCATGGACTTAACCACCCAATCGTCTTGCACCATAGTGGGCCCTGTTTGGAGGGCAAGTCGCCAGGCTAGGGGGAGGGCCTCTCTCAGCTTAGTCCCCTTCTCCCCCACATTTGTAACATGTTAAAGTCTCGGCTGCAGTTGGTCAGTCGTGGCCCAGTCTGCTGTCACCGTGTCCCATAGGTCCCCCACTGTGAAAACTCCCCTTTTGGCCCACATAAGCCATGGGGAGTTTGTTGTGAGGACAAATGGGTTTCCGACACCGTCCAGCATGCATGGGTTGCCGAACAGCGGCTGCCTCCAAATGTCTTGTCATCTGTTGGGAGGTTGTTTCTGCTGCGGGCCACGTCTCCTCCACAATTTGAGCATGTACGACCACAAGGGGTCGAGGAGTATGTCTGCTCTGGCTGCCTGCTGCGGGCGGTTCGCCTGTCATTGTTGACGGGGGGAGGGTACTGTCCAGTACTTATTGGTTAGCCATCGGAAGGGATGCAGTTTCTTGGCCGCTGGCATCTCAGGTG